TAATAACAACTAGTTTTGCTTAGTTAATTTCTATTTCTATATGCTTATTTCATTTTAGATCATAATATCACATTCAATTACATTTACTGGTCATTGACTTTTGGCTACATAAGAAAAACGAATCGCCATGAATAGTTTTTAAAATGTTGAATTCTCAGGAGGCACTCCCAGAAATCCTTACTCTATTAATCTGAGATGCACCTTGGGCATCAGTATTTTTTTTAAATATATATATTTTTTAGTTGCTGATGGACCTTTATTTTATTTTTTTGTACACGGTGCTGAGAATTGAACCCAGTGTCTCACATGTGCCAGGCAAACGTTCTGCCACTGAGCTACAGCCCCAGCCCTGGGCATCATTATTTTTAAAAAACACCCCATGTGCTTCTAAAGTTTAGGCAAAGTTTTCAACTACTGCTGGGATATTAGACAATTAGAATCAGGCTTTATGGGGGAAAATAATTAGACATTGGTTTCCTAATTGAATTTAGTATGTGATTCACCAGAATGTTAAGTAAGGTGATAAAAATATAGGCATTTTTGTCTTCTGAATAACCATTTCACCCTGAGGTTTGGAAAGACATTCAGACTTGGTTGTTCAGTTAACATGTATCCTCACCTCTTCTATCTTTCTCTGGCTATCATTTGTCCTGACCATCCTAGGTCATCTCCCCTCTCCTGAGCTGTTCAAGTCAGCTGAACTAATCTCTTCAGAATGTTTTCTCATTTCAGCCATTTCTGTGCTGCTCTTCTGGATCTTTGAGGTCTTTTGCTCTCTCTGCTTCTGCTTCTGTACTGACCTTAGCTGCTTAGTGGCTCTGCTATTTGCCTTCCTCTCTGGCTAGGCCCTCCCTGAAGGGCCTCAGGCCTCTGCTGGCCAGGACAGATGTTTTTTCACATCTGCCCCCCCCCCCCCAGTGTGAACTCAATCAGAAACAGACTCCTCCATTCCTCCCTTAGGGCGCTGCAATTTCTCCCTAAGTGGGAGCACAGCCTCTGGTCCTTGTTTTTTTGTACCAACTAGGAAAAAATTCATGTGGCAACTACAGAATTATTGTGAGTTGTAGAGAGCAAGGAGCAGGAGAGCTGGCCTAAGTTGGCTGAGGGCCCCAGAGTTGATTAAGCCTTTCCAAGTTCATATGTGCTGTGTAGGGTGCCACAAAACCACGTGGAAAACTTAATATGATTCTGTAAGGGGATAAGCGTTGTCTGGGTAAGTTGATGCTTCAGCAGTGAATGCACACAGTGGCAGCCTTGGGAATTTACACAGAAGAGAGCAGGGCAGACAGAAAAGGCCTTATAGAAATAGGGGTGACAAGCAGGACTGCTGGCTTCTAGGCCTAAATCTGCTCCTGACTGTACCATCTTTGGAAAGTACAGTTGTCTTTGGGTTTCAGTTTCCCAACCTGTGAAATGAGGGACTGTATGCCAGACTTTCAACATGCATGTGAATCTCGGGGTCTTATTCAAATACATCTTCTGATTTAGTGAGGGATGTGAGGTTCTACATTTCCATATTCCCACTGCTGTTTGTCCATGGGGTAGCAAGATTCTCGAGGACCCTTGGGATCTCTCATCTCTACAATCCAAGATCCTGGTAGGTGACCTCTCAGATATTATTTGGTCCCTGGCCAGTGTCTCCTCTGTTCCTTCCATCCCTACCACTCATTCTAGTTCTCAGGAACAAGAAATCTTCATAGATGGGCTTGGTGTAGCTGCCTCCTTTTTATGCTCATCCTTCTTTAAAAACCTGGTCTCTCACATTCCTCCTTCCCAAAGGGCCCCCGCAGTCCAAAGCAAGTGCTTCTCCTTTCTTCCCTTTGACTGACCTTACTTTCTCATGTAGTTTTTATTCCTTGGCATGTTCCCTGTATACCTTGGCTAGATCATAGGGTCAGTCTATGTCCCATCCAACCCATCAGTTTACGTGTGTCCACTGGACTCTGCAGAATGACTTCTATGTGGTTTCTTCCATGTTGGGCAGTACATTTCATTAAGCAAACCAATTGGTTACATCCTACCTCAAAATAGTCTTTATATTTCAGTCTTTGTGTCATGAAAAGATGTGGCATGGTGGACCACTGGCAAACTTCTTTTCTCTAAATAAAAGTACCTCAGAAAATAAGTTTTAAAACAGATATACCTTTTGATTGCAACCCAGCTTAATTGTATTTTTAGCAGAACCATTATATTGAGGATTTAATTCTGTGGAGGTTAATGAAAACTGATCTTACTGTGTGACAGGGATGTCTTATGGTCCCTTTTTCTGAGTAAATTATGAATACAAATGCTTGAAGGCCTTCTGGGTGGGGCCTGTGCATGTGATAGGGCCAGCTCTGTTCAGTTCAGTATTTTCAGATGCATTGAATTGAATGAACTGCTCTATCCGCCAGGTTCTGGAACTTTGTGGCACCACAAGATGGCAGTATAGTATCAAATGTGGAAAGTTGATAGCTGCTGGATTTGTTTTGAGCCTCCCTAGAATGTTTGCACCTACACTTTAAATTGCACCACCTGCTCTGCCATTGAATTTCTTTGGACAAGAGAATCTGACTTTTTCCTGCGGACTTAGAAGTAGTACACTCAACTGCAAGGTGGGCCGTGCAGGTTAAGACACTGTAATAAGACACAGTTTGCTCCTTAAACTTTGTTATGCTTTCCTCCTTGTTTTATGATACTTTCAAATTGCATTTATTATAAAGCAAAAAGAAAGTGTCCCCCATAACTTCTCCCACAAGTGATTTTAATGAGCTTTGGCTTTACTAATGTTTTTAACCATATTAGATTTTATTTACATTGATCTTCTTGCCACACAGCAACCACATCCCCCCACCCCCAAAATATGACAAGATTTTAAAAAACTAACACTTGTTTCATATAGTAATGAAGGACACCTCTACAGAGCCCAAATGGGTGTCCTGGCAAGGGACCCATTCATTTGCGTAACACAAGTGGACCTAAGGAGACCCTTCTTTACTCTTCCCATCCCTAAAATCAATTTTGAGTTTTTGATTCCAGTAGATACCATTTGGGTACTGGCAACATTTTATTCAAAATTTTAGCTTTAAAGGCAAATACCAGCTCTTGTATTTTAAATATCAGACTCTGAAATCAGTCTATAGTGATTATAGTACAGGTCTTTTTGCTGAATGTTGTCCTCAGAATGTAAATAGGGTTGGTTTGTTTCACAACCTTTCTTAGATGGGGCATTCTTACAGCCATTTGTGAAAGTTATCAAATATGGCATTTTACAAGGACATTTTGAATTAATAAGGTCAAAACCTTCAAAGTCAAACAGTTCCTTCTCTATCATATAGTTGAAAATGTGTCATTATTCAGAATACCACTACATTAGACAACCAGGATGCTAACCAGTGGTTTTTAGCTCTCTTTTTTCCCACATATGTGATCAAGACCTGCCCTCAAAATTCTATTTTATAAGAGAATATGTGAAGTTTGTGGCTGGTTTATGCACACTACAGCTCAAGTGTTACCACATGGGTTAGATGCAGGACACTTATTGATACCTAAGTTACAAAATAATTGTTCTTTAATAAATAAAAATGCTGGCAAGATAAAGATTTTTACAATGTCTGACTGCCAAAAATAAAATTGGCATGATAGCTAAAGTAGGTATTATTGCATATCTAATTTAAAAAATCTAACACAAAGAATGACTCTGGAAATGCTACTATCACAAAACTTTTCTTAAAAGTCTTTTGCATGAGAAAGATCAGTAAAGGAAATAGTTTTCCTCCCATTAGTTAGAAAAAAAAAAAAAAACCCAACACTTTTTCCAGGAAAAGAGAACTAACATCTATGGAGAATGCACTGAAAAAGTCCCCTCCCATTCCACAATGATTGATGTCCCTGTCATTAGTAGGGTAGCTGACCATTTCTTATCTTGATTGACAGGTTAATAAGGGACCTGGGGCTATCTTTTCAGTATGAACACACAACCTTAGCAATTACTTTTAAATTATTGCTAATCTGCCAGAAAATAACAAGCATAAGGAATAAAAATATCTGAAAAAGAAATGTCTATGAAGGAGCTTTTACTTCCGGAGCTTTAAAAGGTTCAGTTCAGAAAACTTGCCAGAATTTAGTCAATAGATTTTAGGCACTGAGGATTTTTTTTTTTTTTTAAAGAAAAACTTGTAGTTTATAATAGTTCATTGGTTCAATTAGGAGCGAAAAAGAAGGGAGTTTTGTAATGCAATTGTCCAGCAAAGGAAAACGCTTTAAATTGGGGGATTATGTGCGCAGACCACCTGTAGGGCATTCAGAGCCCTTTTCTATAATGCTTCAACCCATGCCTAGCTGCCTGCAGGCTGGCTAACAATGCCGGGAAAAGCTGTTTAAAAGGCTGAGCGCACTTGTGCCTCTGGTCTTCACTAACTGTTACAAGTCTTCCTCTCCCTCACTCTCTCTCCTTTTTAAAGTAAAAGTCCCACATCCCTTTAATGGAAGAACTTTAAGGCTCCACGGTGGCCAATTGGTCTGCACCAAGAGGAGCCCGGCAGCAGGGAAAGAAACTTCAGACTATACAGCACATTTGGAGAGGAGAAAAGATCAAAGTTTTTCAAACTCAAAAGACCAAGTTCCCTACAGATTAACCCTATTCATTTAGCTCCTCTTAAAGGAATGATGTGCTGAGCCACTGGGCAGACAGGTAAAAAGTTCAACAATTGCCAAAGCATTCTTCTGCTAATTCAACAGCCTTCTGCTCAAATAAATTAGCTTAGTCTTGACAGAGGAACAATAGCTTTTTCTCTAGGAAAAGAAGCACATTTGGTATACACAAGCATGGAAGGTTATTAAGATGTTAACCCGTTAGTTTAATCCATTAAAGAGTGCCTGCTCCAGTACCAGATTGTCAAGTGACTTATGCTGAAATGAGTGATCTATGGTTTAAAATATTAACCTCCACACTTCAGCAGTATGTTCAAACCCTGGAAAACCAGGTGTTTTCAAAATCACCGACGCGATATAAGGATGTGGGGTTTTGAAACCTTTAGTGATATTATACAAGATAAATAACAAGGCCTAAGTGGAAGTACTGCCTTTGCAAAAGTTCCATTTACATACACTAAGGTGAGTTGTAATCCATTGATCAGAAAAGAGGTACCAATGAAAACACTATCTTTGGGGAAGGTGCAAAAACTCACTTTTGATTTCAGTTCAACAATGATATTTACTTTGCTCACAGTTTAAGAACTAAAGGTTAACAGGTAATTTTCTCCATGCCTAAAGTCAGTGTACAGAATGGCAACCAGAAAATGTCCATTTTTCCCACGCGTCCTTAGTAAGCACTGTAAAGATAACAGCTTAGAAGAGGCAGGGGGAGAGGGCAATGTTTAAATCATTTATCAAAAGTCATTTTATTGACAAAATAGAATACTTATATTTGTTCTTACAAGGGGTAGCCTCTAAACTTTTTACAAAAAATGTACACACTGTATATCTTTGGATATATACATATTTTACACATTTTTACAATTTAACAAATAATTATATAAATACATCCTCTAATGTAAGAAACCCGTATTTACTTGGGGTGTATAATTAAGACATTTCTTGTTTATTTAAGGCATTTGCCTGGTCATTAAGAATACCCAAACCGTGCAATCCCATTAGGTCGCAGTCATCCCTTCTCTAGGATATATTAGGAGTAAGTTTATGTAGGCAAGTGGAGGGAGAAAAAGAGGTCCCTCAGGTGAAATGTGTAGATCTGGCTTCAAGCTCAGCAAAGGGCAATCCACAGGGCTCCTATCTCAGGTTCTGGAAGTACTACAGAGTCCACCCTGCTCTGCCAAAGGAAATTAACGCCTGGCGGGAGGAGCTCCTGGAATATCAATGGAGGGAAGGGGGTTGGGTCTGGGAGGCTTCAATGCCAGGTACTTTGTTCTAAGCGAGTCATTTAAGTCCCAGCTAATGGATACCATTAAGAGTTCATTATCATGCTAATAGCAATCAACACTGTGAAGGGGTGGGAACCTCAGCCCCTTAAGTGTCCCTTCACCACACTGGGTCTCCTTCCCCTCCCCCTTTCCGCCCCTTCTGGGCGCCCCCTCCCCTCTGCTCAGACCTGGGACAATGGCATCTGCTTTGGATAAGACACGGAGCTGGCCGTGCCAGACCGCCACGTCAGGCCGGTGCTGACGTCGCTGTAGAGGGAGCCCCCGCCGCCACCCGGCCCCCCGCCCCCGCCGGGTCCAGCGCTGCCACCGCCCCCTGGCCCGCCGCCGCCCCCTGCGGCCCCTGCGGCTGGACCCCCACCCACCGCGGCGCCCTTGCTGGCCCAGCAGCAACGGGTGCACAGGGCGCGCCAAGACTCCAGCGTCTTGCCTGACCAGACCCACACGCCAGAGGTAATGCCCACCACCAGGCACATGAAGTACTTGAGCATGAAGACTGCGTAGTCGGGCCTGCGCGCCTGGTCGGGCTGCAAGTCCCGCAAGCACGGGCAGTTGTGTGTGGCCTCCCAACGAGGGCGGTTGTGCTGCTCGTAGAAGAGGCAGGCGACCACGACGGCGGCGGGCACAGTGTAAAGCACGGTGAAGAGGCCCAGGCGGATCATGAGCTTCTCTAGCTTGTGCGTTTTGGTGGGGCCACCCTGCTGCTTGATGACCGAGCGGATGCGGAAAAGCGATACGAAGCCGGCCAGCAGAAACATAGTACCAATAAAGAGGTAGATGACAAGAGGGGCCAGCACGAAGCCACGCAGATTATCGAGGCTTTGGTTGCCCACGTAGCAGATGCCTGCCACTGGGTCACCGTCCACCGAGCTGAGCGCCAGAACTGCAATGGACTTGACGCTGGGCACAAGCCAAGCGGCCAGGTGGAAGTACTGCGAGTAGCCGGCAATGGCTTCGTTGCCCCACTTCATGCCTGCCGCCAGGAACCACGTGAGCGACAGGATAACCCACCAGATGGAGCTGGCCATGCCGAAGAAGTAAACTAGCAGGAAGACTACGGTGCACAGCGCGGGGCCGGTAGTCTCATAACGCACGTGCTGCTCCACAGCGCCCAGCTCCTCGTACTCGCCGCGCCCGCCAGCGCCGCTCGCGCCCGCGCCTGCCGCGCCCGCGCTTGCTGCAGCCGCCGCGCCGCCAGCGCCCCCAGCGCCGCCAGCTCCCGGCGCGCCGCCGCTGCAAGCCACTTTCTCGTGACCCGCTACCAGGCGCACCAGGTAGCCTACCGACACGAAGAGGTAGCAGGCAGACAGGAAGATGATGGGCCGCTCTGGATACTTGAAGCGCTCCATGTCGATGAGGAAGGTGGAGACGGTAGCGAAAGTGGACACGAAGCAGAGCACTGACCACAGGCCGATCCAGAAGACGGTGAAGGCGCGCTCGTCCTGACTGAAGAAGGGATTGTGGCAGGGTAGCGCGCAGTTGGCGATCTGGCCTGTCTTGACGCGGTTGTACAGCGGGTGCCGCTCGCTGGACACGCTTACCATGGGCGCGCGGCACTGGCACCCGGGCTCGCAGGGAGCCGCGCCGCCACCAGGGGGCCGTGCCTTCCCGCCACCGCCTCCGCGGGCTGGGGGCGCCGCTGCGTCCCCTCCGCCACCGCCCCTGCCGCCGCCGCCGCGGTGCGGGGGCCTGGCCCCCGGCGGGCGGCCGTGGCCGCTGCCGGAGGGTGGCTGCTCTCCAGGAGGCGGCGGCGGCAGGCGGCGCGGCGGGTTGGGCGCGGCCGTGGTCAGGTCTGTGCGGTTATAGTCCATGCACAGCGTGTCGGGGTTGCCTTGCTCCGGCAGCCGGTCGCAGCGCATGCGGTCCGGCCAAGCGAAGCCGTACTGGCGCATGAGCGGCGCGCAGCCGGCCTTGGCGCGCTCGCACACCGAGCGGCAGGGTGGCAGCGGCTTCTTGTAGTCCTCCAGGCAGATGGGCGTGTACATGCTGCACAGAAAGAACTTGAGGTCGGGGGAGCACTGGATCTCCACTAGCGGCCAGAACTGATGCACCTCAAGGCCCGCCTCGTCCTGCGTGTCGTGGTTGAACTGGTTGGGCATGTAGGTGTAGTTGTAGCCAATGCCTTTACACAGCGGCACGGTGATCTCTTGGCACGCCAGCTCTTTGGCCGAGGCGGCTGCTGCGCCGCTTGAGCGCTGCAGCAGCGCCAAGGCGGCCAGCAGAGAGGTCACTTCCAACAGGTAACCCCACTCCATGCTGCGCGCCTCGGCCCTTGCCCTAGTCCTCCAGGCAGTGCGCGGAGTGTCCCAGGGGGATCCAAGCAATTGAGACTGGTAAGGGGAGAGCGGGTGACCTGCGGGTCTTTTGCCTCTCCTTGGGGAGAAGAGGGGATTTGCCAATAATCTAGCTCCTGTCCGGGGCACCTCTGCAACGAAGCACTCGCAAGCCTGGGCAGAGGTTGTCCGCACCTCCTTTCCTCCACTCCAGGAGAGAAGGTGGCTGCAGTCGCGTGCCACAGTCCCAGAGGGTCTGTCCCTCTTACTCTGGGTCTCACTCAGCTCTCGCGGAGCAGGGTGGCGGGCCCTTGGTCCATCGTCCAGTACACTCTCGTTTCCTCTCCCGCTCCTCTGGCCACTTCTCTGCTTGGCGCCTAGCAGCGGTGACTTTGTCGGGCACCTAGGGCGGCGGCGCAGCAAGTTTCCTTTCGGGCCGCGGTGCGCAGTCAAGATGGCTGGGCCAAGCTGCTCGCTGTGCCGGGTCAGCCTTCGCGGCCCCTTTTCGGCCCGCGAGGGCTCATGCCCGCCCCAAAGGCCGCGCCACCACTGTTGGAGTTCAGGACCCCGCACGCCCGAGGCCTCTGCGATCTTTCTCTGGCGTGAGTCCGTCAATCTGTACGCCGGGGACAGAAGGCTCCGTCTCCAGGAAAAGTCCGCGTCGCTCTCTGGCCGCAGTCGGGTGAGATACAGGCAGTCCCCTTCTCGCTAGACACACAGAAGCAAATCCAGACTAGACGGAACCGACACCTGAGCGCCTCGGCCCGCGCCCAGCCGCCGCCTCCTCGGCAGGAGCAGCGCCCTTAGCCCAACTTCCCGGCTCCAGCCCCGCTAGCGCCGCGCGGCCGGCTCATGAATATTTATACAGCCTGGACTTGGTCTCCGCCCACCTCTAGGCTCACCAATCACCGGAGGACAGGGCGGAGTCTACTCGCTCCCAAGGCTCAACCTTCCTTAAGGACGTCCATAGTGTCCTGATGGCCATGTGGGCTTTCTGCAGATGTAGAGTTTTGATAACCTTGGGATTGACCGCAGAGAGGGAGCGTTTGTTACGAATGTCCCCATGGACCTCTGTGAGTCTGAGATCTTGGCCCTATTTCCCCGAGTTTGTGCTTGGGGACGGAGTTTTATTGTAGTGTGCGCCTCCCAGTGCTCTTTCAAATCGGTCAAGCCCCTGCCTGCTAAGTCACCACGAATGGGGTGACCTGCTGTAGATGGGGCCCTGAGGCTCCCTTGAGAGCCATGGCAACTTGGACATCGCGCAATAAGCGAGTGAGCAAGGACCTACCCAGACCTGGACCCTTAGGGAACCCTGGAAGGACGTAGTTCTTAGGGGTTCTCAGAGTGATGGGTTTTGAGCCTTAGAGATGTGGCAGGAATGGAATGACCTCAGTTCATTCTAGATGGGGGGGGGCCTGAATTTGGGGCAGCCTAGTGAGGTGCTCTGGAGTCGGGCTGCAAGCGCACAAGGGTCTCGCTGCACAGGTGCCTGTTTGGGACTCCTCTGTGGCTCAGCTGTTTTACTTCGGGAACCTCAGTTTCATTACGTAGAAAGTGGGGTGATTATAGCATCTATCTCATAGGGGTTTTTGATAATTGGATGAGATAAAATACATAAACCATCTGGACGCAGTGCTTCCTTTACAAAAAGTAATTCCATTTCCTCTTTAAAAAATAAAATTAAAACAAAAACTTATAAATAGAATAGACTGGAAACTGCTACCGGAATCTCTATTCTCTTCCTATTTTAGGACATATTCATCTATCCGAAGTTCACATGTTTTTGCCAGAGCCTCCTTTTCTATTGCGGGAGGCGGGGCTGCGCCCTGGCGCGGAGGCGCGGACACGTATCGGTGATCTGCACCCAGCCCTGGCTGCTTTTAGCAGCCACTTGGGATGCGGCCAACCAGAGCTGGCCCAGCCAGCTCTCCACCTTAAGAAGGACAGGGAGAGGGGACTTGGGGGGGGGGGGGGGGGGGGGGGCGGTGGCGAGGGGCCGGCGGCCTGGCAGGTTCATTTACGCTTGTTAGGACGTCCCAGGGGGTTGTCTTTCTCCTAGAATGGAGTGTTTATTTTTTAATTGATGTGCTGTTTCATTTAGCGCTTGTATGGAACTCATGCTGGGGCTGTAATTACTGTAATCTCGGGAACAAGCATTCAGTTAGCCAGGAGGGTGGCAAAATAGTTTCTCTCTCTTCCTCCCTCCCCTCCTCTCCTTCTCTCTCCTTATCCTCCTTTCTTCCTCCTCTCCTGTTCTCCTCCTTTCTTTCCTTTTTGTTTCAGGATTTTTGCTCTTTGTCAGATTTCATACCAAGAACAAGAAGAACTAGAGAACAAAAGTCGCCGAGGGCGTGGAGAAAGAGAAAAAGAATTAAAAGTACATTTGAGGACAGTAAAAAAACAATTAAAGGTACATTTGAGGTTAGTTTAGGGATTTTTTGGGGTGGTGGTTGTGGGGGGTTTGGAGTTGGCGGTCATCTGTTTACAAACAAGTTTTGTGCCCAAATAAAATTAGGTAGGAGCATTTGTATATTGCTTGAGCTAATGGAATCTAAGTCTTCCTCTTTCAGTTTTCTATGGCTTAGTTTAGCAACCTATTATGAACCACACTATAAGTAGACCAGTAGAAGCACCTCCCCCGCCCCTTTCTGGCAAGTTCTGTTTTTTCCCTTCTAGGCAGATCCACCAGGTTATAGTTACACCCCACCTTCTTTTTCTTTTTACTTAAAAAAAAAAAAAAAAAAGAACCTCCTTATACTAAAAGCAACACTTCTCACTTTAGTTTTGGTAAAACTACTCTATAGGAATCCGAAATTCAAAGCTTCAGAAATATTAGCTGATTCAGCAGAAAATGGATCACTAGAGAATGCGGACTCGACCTTTACTTTTTTTTTTTTTTTAAACATCGATTTTTTTACCTCCCTTTCCACACCGGAATTCCCATTTATAGTATGTTAAATGGAGAAAGTCACCTATAGCTTTAGTTGGTACCTTGTTCCCAGAGGGCTAATTTCCAGAACATTCATCTAGAGGTAATTCCTAGAGTTGAAGAGTTCCCATCTGATCTTAGTGGTGGAGGCAGAGACCCTTATCCACAATCTTAGGCAGCTACATTGCTTGGACTAGGGAGACCACAGAAGGGAGGAGCTAGTTTCCAAAAGCAACACAGATGGGGAAAAGTTCCTTCAGCTTTTCTTCATCAGGGAAATGTCAAATATTGAAGTTTAGAATTACACTACATAAATTTACTAGAATTAGGTAAAAACAAACTGGCATTTGAAAATTGAAGCTGAAGATCGTTGATTTTGGCTCTTAATTGGCATTTGAATATTTTTCTTTTGAGACAAGATGAAAATTTTGATGATGTGGAATGTGGAAATTTTTGGTAAGTATTAGGCTTGAATAAAAAAAGCAGACAAAATTTTGGACTTTCAAAATTATAGGCTATTTGGAGGATACAACTGATTCATGATATTAAAACCACTTATATAAAGTTACAAAATTACTTTTAATTGAAAAAAATAACATCTTAAATTTACTGTTGAATTAAACAGATACTTGACAGTCTTTCAGACAGAAGACAGAGACTTATGAAGCCAGTTAGTTCAGGAAAGGCAATGCTAGGTCAGATAAAAGAAACCAGGACCATTTATCTATGTTGCCAGCTAAATAATGGTATTTTGTGTGTGTGTGTGTGTGTGTATAAAGCAGCTACATTTTAGGGACGGGTAAATAGTTTTAGTAGTACATAAATAAATTAGTAAAGTTAAAGGAATTTCTGATTCAGTGCATTATATTTAAAAATCCAACATGAGAGTTTTGATACTAGAGAGGGCCTAACATATATTAATAAAATGGTATGTGAAAGATTACATGAAGAACTATTTTGTAACTAATGAAATTTCTTAGGTGTTATATCAAACACCATTTTTTTTTTCCTTCTAAAAGCTCATTTTCTTTCAGGGAAATAATCAAGTATTATTATTGTTGGAGAATATACAACTCTATCAGGTAATATTGAGATATCTTGCCATTAAAAAAAAAAACCGTCTTTCAAAGGATTGTGTCTTCAGTTATCTACTCCATAAACAGAAGTAAAGTTAGGAATGAATTGGTCTTGTTTAAATCTCTACTAGAATTAACACAGTTGCTATAGTTTGGCTCTAGAATATCCCTGAAAGGTCCATGTATTAAGGTTTGGTTCCCAGCCCCTGGAGGTAATGGAACCTTTAGGAGGTGGGGCTTAGTGGGAGTGAGTTAGGTCATTGGCTATGTCCCTTGGAAGGGAATATTGGGACTCTGTCCTCTCCTTTTCCTCTTTGCTTTCAAGCTGCTATGAGGTGAGTGGCTTTCCTCCACCACGTACTCCCCACCACAATGTGCTGCCCCATAGTTTCTTTTCCACCAGGAAAAGGATCTCATCAAAAGGAAGTACTCTTTGCTGTGTCTGAAAAAATAGAGCAATGTTCAGATGGGTGGAGATAACTGAGGCAAACATGTGCCACAGGCTTGGAATCAGATGCCCACTTTGTGTGGCTGCCATTTTGGAAAATGGAGACTTTATTCACTTTGTAACTTTATAATTATTCTAAAATGTGTTTTAAAACAAATACTGATTTTTTTCTCCCTCATTTACACTGGAATATTGGCCAGATGGTGATATTCTTATGGGATGTATCATGCATTAGTTGGGAGCTTTTGAGAACAATAAAGACCTCCTAAATAAAATTAGTTTAGTTAAGAAGGACATCTCACATTTCAATACATCTAATTGCAGGAATTTCACCACAGGTTCCTCAACAGTGTTATATCTGTAGGTTGGCTTATAGGCCCTTAGGTTCCCCTTTGGTTAATGGAACCAGTGCAGGAGGAGTGATAGGACCTCAGCCTGTGAAACTCCCCTATTAGAAAAGGGGAGCCCTGAAGGCTTTCAACTAACTTCCTGATATAGCACAGTGTCTTATCTGTCATATGGCTACACTTAGCTGCAAGAGAGGCTGTAAAATTGAAGATCTGGTGAGTGGCAAGTGATTGGAGGGGAGGGTTCTGATAGCAAGAAAAGGAAAGAAAGAGGGGACAACCAACAGTGTCAGCTGCACATTGCTATATGAAAGAAATTAGCTTTCAAGCATATGTCAGTTAGCATGCTTAGTCTTCCAGGATATTTTGTTCAGTATGATCTAGATTGAAGAAAATCTTGATATCTATATGTTTTTTCCTTTTGGAGTTTAAACGGTACAGTTCACTGCATAGATGGTGGGAAAGAAATTTTGCTGTTAACTATGAGTTTTACTTATAAGGTGTGAATACTTGGTAGTCTAGCTCCTGAGTTCCCTTTTGTTAAACTGTCCCCCTACCCTTCTATTGGAGACTTCACTAAACATCGACAATCCTAGAATTTTAGTTTATTTTTTCTTTCAAGTCCCATACCATGTAAAATTTTTGTTTTTATTATTTTAACAATTAAATATAATGCAGGAGAAACTGTATTAAATCCTCTATCTGAAGTGCTATGGCTATAAAGGAATCTTTATATACAAGTAAATATCGATTCAGATAAGAGTTTACATCTGATGTAAAAACAGATGTAAACAATGATCCATTTTAAATGGTGGTCTGAAACAATAATAATATTTTACTTCAGTAATACAAATAATAATTATTAGGGCATCAGGGACATAGAGGTGGCAAGGA